AATGTATTTACTTCAAGAAACAACTTGCAAGTTAACAGTGGCATATTCCAGGAAGACTATTTGTTTGTTTGTTTATTTTTGTGCCATTTATAAATTATATATTTACACAAATATCAATGTACCAGGCAAGGAAGCCCAGGGAAGCCAGTTAGGCTTATGTAAAGGACTACCTTAAAGATGCCTAAGAATAAAAATGCTGTCATCAGCAAACAAAATTGTGCTAGAATTATGAGCCCCTTTAGAGTGGTACACTATTTTGGTGATGTACCGCTTGTTATTTCAGGTTCCGTTGTTGTTGCACAAATTGTGTATCTTACACATACCTTTTCCTTGAAGGTGATGACAATCTCTGATGAAGATGGACAGCCCGCCCAGGAGGTCTTTCTGCTTGTTCTACTAAATCACCCCAGCTACTCTCCATATCAGCAGAATGGTCAGCTGGAAGGATAACATGTTCAATGAAATGTAATAATTTTTAAGAAGATTACATTTTTTAATTTATAAGACATGTTTCGATGTTACTAACATCATCGCCAGTTACAGAATATTTACTGTAAGGGCTATTGTAACAACTAGGCAAAACATGCATAATTAATTATGATTAAGTGACAAAAATAGGCTTTATATTCTTTCAAACACTTTGCAACTCGTTCAGATATGAAATCTATTTTTGTCACTTAAATCTATTAGTCTATAATTTACTTTTGTATTTTTAATATATTTTTTAATTTGTGTATTTATTTTTTAATAATTTAATGTTATTTTGGATCGGGACCTTTCTGTAGATCACCTACGGGTGAGAAAGCTTCCTGTTAAAATATCATTATTAAACTTAATCATAATTAATTATGCATGTTTTGCCTAGTTGTTATATAGTCCTAATGGTTTTTCAAATATTCTGTAACTGACGACGACATTAGTAACATCGAAACATGTCTTATAAATTAAAAAATGTCGTAATCTTCTTAAAAATGTAATAACTATATGTTAAACAATGTGAAAGACTAAAGTGGCTCCAAAGAAGTAACTGTATTCAAAGTGCAGTAAATGTACACATACAATGAGCTGCAGAGGCATGAAAACTACTAGCAGCCAGCAGTAATAATATGTTCATTTATTAATAGCCTCTTACTAACTGAGCGAGAGGGCTGTATTGGGGAATATTGGCCCAAGGCCATGGCAGTATGGACTGAGTGCAGTGAGGTCCATACAAAAAAGACCAAGGGCCAATATTCCCCAGCATGGCTCAAGCAAGCTAGGATGGTAAGTAGTTTAGCATGTAGGCCTTAGAAAGAGTCTGCAAGGCAAAATCCCGACCATGAAAGAACCAATCAGAATCCTCAGATTTACCTCAAGACTACCTTGCCGTATAATTAACATGCACATGTACATATTTAAAGTTTAATTTTGTATTTCTTGAAATCAACTCGCTTGGTTACTTCCTGCTTTAATTAAGGTCACTGTATTGTGTATACCTTTAGAAGTTTATCAGGACAAACAAATAAACTCCCTTTGACGTCGTGAAAAATTTGACAATTCATTTTATTTCAAAATTGTTGGTATAGTTTGATATAGCCAGTTCTATAAGCTTTTTAATTAGACACATGGGTTTGGTGTCTACAGTTTAAACCGGATGCACTACATCACCTGGACATGAGACACCTCTGAAGGTATTCAGAAACCGTTAATTAATTCATCATATTTCTTCATTAACTTTTATACATGTCAAAACAGAACACTGACTAAGATGTTGTCAACCCTTCTTAAGAGATATTTATACTATAGCCCCTTACCATCATACTTTGCAATCATCTCTTCCCAAGTCAGAGTGGTTCCTGAGTTCACAAGGGAATTCTGAAAACAAGCAACAGATGAAGATACACTGTAAATTTTGAAAAAAAACTACATGTATGTGTAGGTAACTTTTTATTGCTTGCTCAGTTTTCAGGTTTTGTGATTACAATAAATTGATGGACAATTTTTGATGAGGTGTACCATCAAACTGCATTCATTAAATCCTTTCTAACCCTCTAATCCTCTTTCAAACTGTGACTTCCTCTATGGCTATCAGTACTACATACACATGATTTAAGGTATTCCTCAAACAGTACCTTTCAGTTGGTACAGTGTATACTGTATCTGTGGTCTTTGGGTCTATAAGTACTGTTTTACAAATGTGGTATTTCCAACAGGTCGGATTGAAAAGGTCAGGGTTGTCGAAAGGGGCAGTAACCCGCAACACCTGCTATGGCTGAGTATGTTTGATGGGCCCTTCATGTTATGGGTGAATTGGAATATGGTTGATACCATTCACCCAAAATGTAAGTTTGTTACAGGAGTGAAGATTAAGACTACAGTTGACTCAAAAATGTAATGACAAACCTGAGGGTTAAACTTCTTAGTAATCACACATCTAGAATAATCACCATAACAACTTACACTGTCTCCATTTGTTGTAACACTGCAATTCAAAGAGTTCTCCGCATCCTTTATATTTTCAATATCTTCCTCTTGTTCAATATCAGAGGTCTGACTCTCGCTTTCACCGTTTATTGCTGTTACTAATTCTTCTTCTTCTGCGATCTCTTTTGTCAAACGTTCCTCGTGTTCAATAACAGATGCGATTGTTTGGTTGTGCCATTCCTCTATCTGTCTTGACAAACTCTCTTCTTCCTCCATTGCCGCTGACAGTGCCTTATCATGTTCAATGTCTGATAACGTATCCTGTTCATCGTCGCCATCAAGAAAAAGAGCAGGCGTTTCTTTGTCATTATCAATTTCCAATAACTCTTGAGAAGCTTCACCTGGATTTAGGTAAGGTTCTGTACAAACTTCTTTATCATCAATATGATTTCCAACGTCACCATTACTGCATGTACCATTTGTAACCCCCTGCATTCTCAAATCATTTGATTTGGTTTCCCTTTTTCCATTCAAAAGTTTCTCAGAAGTTTTATTTGCTTTCTTTGCATGATTGCTATGCATCTTTCTTCCACGATGAACAGTTTCCCACCCTTCATCATCACCATCATCATTAACATCTTGAACAACACAGTCTTCTAAATTCCCTGACAAACGTCTTAATCCAGGAATGGCATTGTGACATTCTTGTCCTTTCAGATCAATAGTTTTTGATGGAGCACTGTTAGAATTTGTACTAGCTGTGGTCCCTCGCACTTTGTCAGCCCAAGATTGCACTGGTACTAAATTTCCTGACTGATTAAGTGACTGACTTAATGGCGGAACAGATTGTGAACTGAAGTCTAACGAGCGGACGGGACTGGTTGAGTTTCTCTCAAGTGATGTCTGTAAAGCATTGGCACTAGAAAACAGTGTCTTCCCTGGGGAAGATTTTCTCACTTCCCATGCCAGAGATGTTGGCCTGAAAAGAAAGAGAAGAAGGTATTTACAGTCTTAATGCATAATTTATCACAGCTACAGTGATGTACTTCTGAGGTCAATACACTATTGTCAGATTTTCAGTGTTGTGGGTTATGGCACAAAGCCCATTTGATCAAACATAGATACATGTAATGCTTATCTGAAATTAATTCATAGAAAAGCTACACTGACTGCAAACAAGGTCATATAAGTTAAAAGTTACCAATAACAGCCAGCTACAGTGAGATTAAACTGCATGGAATACTACAAAGTACAGTATACTACTTACCCTGGTGATGAAAACAAATACTTCACATGTATACATAACATGTAAATGACATTCATGTGTATACATGTTATCACAGGTTACGCCCAAAATACATATTTGAAATGTTTTTTAACTTAATCAACATAATTATATTTTTTTCTTAGAACCATATGAGCAGCCTTGATTTTAAATAATACCTCACAAATAAATCTAAAATTTCCAGTGTACATGTAATGTAATCATACCTGTCCTTGTAATCAGCTTTTTCAAATGCATCCTGCACATTTATTCTTTCGATCAAAGCACTGAAGTCTCGACGACACTGATCCAGCATCATAATTACCTCCTGTTTGAGAACAAGATAAAATGGTGTGAAGACAATGAATGAAGAAAAAGGAAAACAGAATTGTGATTACAGTAACTACATGTACAACTAGGAAATTGTCTGCCATTTGCATCCCAAAAAGGATACACTACACACCCACATCCACTTAATAATAACTACATGTACTTATTATCCTAGAGTGAAGTCTCTACGGGAAAATCTCAAACCAAGACATTGCCGTACTGACCAAATGATAGTGAGGTCAATATCACAAGGCTGAGGTTTGAGATTTTCCCATAAAGACCCAACCTTTGAGATTAATAAGTTGTTTATCATATGGCTTTTTGCTTTGTTCTTGCTGGCCTGTAATCAGCCTGTGGGCATTACGGGAGAATAACGACCTAGAATTAGCCAATCAGAGTGTACATTATAATGGCTATGAACACAAGCCATATAACTTAGAATTACATACATGTATGGGGCAATGTGACCAAAAGGCTACCATAAGTATTTCTTGGCTAAAGTTTTAACTGACAAAGATTCAGCCCAAAAGTGAATATTGCCAACTGCGTCAAACAAAGCCTGCCAATAAAAGATACATGAAATATCTATTGNAATTTTGTATTTCTTGAAATCAACTCGCTTGGTTACTTCCTGCTTTAATTAAGGTCACTGTATTGTGTATACCTTTAGAAGTTTATCAGGACAAACAAATAAACTCCCTTTGACGTCGTGAAAAATTTGACAATTCATTTTATTTCAAAATTGTTGGTATAGTTTGATATAGCCAGTTCTATAAGCTTTTTAATTAGACACATGGGTTTGGTGTCTACAGTTTAAACCGGATGCACTACATCACCTGGACATGAGACACCTCTGAAGGTATTCAGAAACCGTTAATTAATTCATCATATTTCTTCATTAACTTTTATACATGTCAAAACAGAACACTGACTAAGATGTTGTCAACCCTTCTTAAGAGATATTTATACTATAGCCCCTTACCATCATACTTTGCAATCATCTCTTCCCAAGTCAGAGTGGTTCCTGAGTTCACAAGGGAATTCTGAAAACAAGCAACAGATGAAGATACACTGTAAATTTTGAAAAAAAACTACATGTATGTGTAGGTAACTTTTTATTGCTTGCTCAGTTTTCAGGTTTTGTGATTACAATAAATTGATGGACAATTTTTGATGAGGTGTACCATCAAACTGCATTCATTAAATCCTTTCTAACCCTCTAATCCTCTTTCAAACTGTGACTTCCTCTATGGCTATCAGTACTACATACACATGATTTAAGGTATTCCTCAAACAGTACCTTTCAGTTGGTACAGTGTATACTGTATCTGTGGTCTTTGGGTCTATAAGTACTGTTTTACAAATGTGGTATTTCCAACAGGTCGGATTGAAAAGGTCAGGGTTGTCGAAAGGGGCAGTAACCCGCAACACCTGCTATGGCTGAGTATGTTTGATGGGCCCTTCATGTTATGGGTGAATTGGAATATGGTTGATACCATTCACCCAAAATGTAAGTTTGTTACAGGAGTGAAGATTAAGACTACAGTTGACTCAAAAATGTAATGACAAACCTGAGGGTTAAACTTCTTAGTAATCACACATCTAGAATAATCACCATAACAACTTACACTGTCTCCATTTGTTGTAACACTGCAATTCAAAGAGTTCTCCGCATCCTTTATATTTTCAATATCTTCCTCTTGTTCAATATCAGAGGTCTGACTCTCGCTTTCACCGTTTATTGCTGTTACTAATTCTTCTTCTTCTGCGATCTCTTTTGTCAAACGTTCCTCGTGTTCAATAACAGATGCGATTGTTTGGTTGTGCCATTCCTCTATCTGTCTTGACAAACTCTCTTCTTCCTCCATTGCCGCTGACAGTGCCTTATCATGTTCAATGTCTGATAACGTATCCTGTTCATCGTCGCCATCAAGAAAAAGAGCAGGCGTTTCTTTGTCATTATCAATTTCCAATAACTCTTGAGAAGCTTCACCTGGATTTAGGTAAGGTTCTGTACAAACTTCTTTATCATCAATATGATTTCCAACGTCACCATTACTGCATGTACCATTTGTAACCCCCTGCATTCTCAAATCATTTGATTTGGTTTCCCTTTTTCCATTCAAAAGTTTCTCAGAAGTTTTATTTGCTTTCTTTGCATGATTGCTATGCATCTTTCTTCCACGATGAACAGTTTCCCACCCTTCATCATCACCATCATCATTAACATCTTGAACAACACAGTCTTCTAAATTCCCTGACAAACGTCTTAATCCAGGAATGGCATTGTGACATTCTTGTCCTTTCAGATCAATAGTTTTTGATGGAGCACTGTTAGAATTTGTACTAGCTGTGGTCCCTCGCACTTTGTCAGCCCAAGATTGCACTGGTACTAAATTTCCTGACTGATTAAGTGACTGACTTAATGGCGGAACAGATTGTGAACTGAAGTCTAACGAGCGGACGGGACTGGTTGAGTTTCTCTCAAGTGATGTCTGTAAAGCATTGGCACTAGAAAACAGTGTCTTCCCTGGGGAAGATTTTCTCACTTCCCATGCCAGAGATGTTGGCCTGAAAAGAAAGAGAAGAAGGTATTTACAGTCTTAATGCATAATTTATCACAGCTACAGTGATGTACTTCTGAGGTCAATACACTATTGTCAGATTTTCAGTGTTGTGGGTTATGGCACAAAGCCCATTTGATCAAACATAGATACATGTAATGCTTATCTGAAATTAATTCATAGAAAAGCTACACTGACTGCAAACAAGGTCATATAAGTTAAAAGTTACCAATAACAGCCAGCTACAGTGAGATTAAACTGCATGGAATACTACAAAGTACAGTATACTACTTACCCTGGTGATGAAAACAAATACTTCACATGTATACATAACATGTAAATGACATTCATGTGTATACATGTTATCACAGGTTACGCCCAAAATACATATTTGAAATGTTTTTTAACTTAATCAACATAATTATATTTTTTTCTTAGAACCATATGAGCAGCCTTGATTTTAAATAATACCTCACAAATAAATCTAAAATTTCCAGTGTACATGTAATGTAATCATACCTGTCCTTGTAATCAGCTTTTTCAAATGCATCCTGCACATTTATTCTTTCGATCAAAGCACTGAAGTCTCGACGACACTGATCCAGCATCATAATTACCTCCTGTTTGAGAACAAGATAAAATGGTGTGAAGACAATGAATGAAGAAAAAGGAAAACAGAATTGTGATTACAGTAACTACATGTACAACTAGGAAATTGTCTGCCATTTGCATCCCAAAAAGGATACACTACACACCCACATCCACTTAATAATAACTACATGTACTTATTATCCTAGAGTGAAGTCTCTACGGGAAAATCTCAAACCAAGACATTGCCGTACTGACCAAATGATAGTGAGGTCAATATCACAAGGCTGAGGTTTGAGATTTTCCCATAAAGACCCAACCTTTGAGATTAATAAGTTGTTTATCATATGGCTTTTTGCTTTGTTCTTGCTGGCCTGTAATCAGCCTGTGGGCATTACGGGAGAATAACGACCTAGAATTAGCCAATCAGAGTGTACATTATAATGGCTATGAACACAAGCCATATAACTTAGAATTACATACATGTATGGGGCAATGTGACCAAAAGGCTACCATAAGTATTTCTTGGCTAAAGTTTTAACTGACAAAGATTCAGCCCAAAAGTGAATATTGCCAACTGCGTCAAACAAAGCCTGCCAATAAAAGATACATGAAATATCTATTGCACCATTACCTGGCATTCTATAATGCTCTTGTGAGCCTCACAAGTTTCATACATGAAATATCTTTATTGTACCATTACCTGACATTCTACAATGCTCTCGTCAGCCTCACAAGTGCCATAAATTTCATCCACAGCCCTTTTCAGGTTATCAAACAAGTAACTCCAGTAACGAGCTCTCAAGTCATTTTTCTTTCCTGAGAAAGAGCCGGACAATTTCCTGCTCCCTGAGCGAGATCTTCCGGGAGATTTAGCTCCTCCTTTCTGTGCAGGAGAAGCCTCCCTCTCAGATGAGCCGGATTTTTCTGGTGTAGAGGTACGTTTTCTATTCACCATCCTTGGTTTAGACCTCTTTCCTTTTCCTGGTTTATGGACACAAAGAGATGAGAGTACAGTTATATAATTATGTTGCTTTCTTGTAGGGTGCATGTACACAGATCTTAGCTTTACAATCACAGTCAAAATGCTTAAGACAGAATTCCCAAAAATTCGCAATTTTCTTACTAACAAATCAAAACCTACATGTATTTATTCCGCTTTTATTAATCAATACACTTAATGTAAATTTCTGACTTTTCCTGACACCTTGAGTGTACATTTACACCTGTACACTGTCTAACAAATTAGAGTTATTAAATGTTAAGTTTGTACTTTATTCAACTACTTCATGTGCTCATTGTAACATTTACTGAAATTAGTTTTCCTTGCACATTTGCTGGTAATGGGGTTTTCAAAGACTGTTTAAACACACACACAGCTCCTGACATTTTTTTTATCATTTATGGACAAAACAACATACACATATGTAGTAATTACAAATAATGTGGAACTGATATAAAAAAGCTCCCACCAAATTACAAACTTCTCTTGGACATTAATCATATTATTTTATTTAGTATTTTATACTCACTTCAAGTACTTGTAAGAATAATCCGTAGTTATTATATGGCAAGGTACATGTTTTGTAGTCTTGAGCCTGGTATTTGAATTTTTTCTTGCCATGTGGACCATTTCCATGGAAACAATCATGAATAAGCAGTGCATTTTGCCATATAACAAACTGCTTACTAACCTAGGGCTGTCATTAAGGACCATAACCCATAACACCTGTTACAGCTGAGTATGACTGTTTTTACCTGGATGCTACAGGTGAAATTGCTTGTTGTTGAAAGAATTCACCCACAATGTAACAAGTTTGCTACGGGTGTGGAGAATGAGGGTACTGGCAACTTAATGACAGCCCTGCTAACCTACATGTAGCTTGCTCAAGCCGTACTGGTAAATATTGGCTCTCAGTCGTTATTGCAAGGACCTTGCTGTGCCTTTATTTCCCGGTACAGCCCAGGTTGCACTTGGTTAGTAAGAGGTTAATATTTTAAATTCTCTCCTGTAAACTTGTTAATTATATTCACACACATTCACTGGTGTTGGTTCACAGAAAATTCTGTTTCTCATTCCTGGGAGTGGTTTCATACAAAAAATACCTGTATTGTACAGAGGTGAAATACTGTACAGTCTGTAAATTAAAAACTAGAATTAGTTCATATTTATTTACAATAATGTGCATATGTGACCAATCCATCAACCAGAGTTGAACATTACTCAGAATAAATTGAATGGGCAAAACACCAAAACTGTGACAACATGAAAAAAGAAAAGTTTTCTTTTAGCAAGAATGAGAGACAAGAAACAAATTTTTCAGACATGAAGTAGACATAGTTGCATTTTGCTTACAGTATTTCAACATTGATTTCTGCAGTGAGAACACACCAAATCTAAAATAATTTGGAAAAATGGATACTCCTGAAGAGTAAAATAAAGATTTGTACTGTATTGTGTTATAAATTGCAATAATCTCTGCAAAGATTTTAACCTTTCTTTAGGGAGCTTTTTTCATTTGGACATTTCAATAAAATTGAAGATACAACACAGTGCATGGGTTTTGCATAACACTTCATTGATTAATTTTTCATGACTGCCAACCCTTGGTTTTTGAGTTTTAAAAGCACTTGCCATTCTGCCCTCAAGAACAAATCCTGTCACTAATGCAATTGATGTATCAGATGTAAAATTCATCCAACAAAGCAAGAAACTAAGAGATTTCAACCCACCCTTTTTAATTTTAGAAAACGCAAAGTCCCCCCTGCCATGATATAGCTAATCTTACTGCTTGCTGCTGCCGGTCTATTTACAAACGTGGTGCATTTCAGGCTGACATAAAATTCATGTATACATCAGATTCTATACCCACCAGCAAATTTCTTCTATCAAATGTGTCCCTGTGTTGATTTTATGATATATTTTCTGATTTTTGTTCTCAAGATCCTGTGTTGTTGCATCCTGGCTGGCACAGTGCACAGTCCATTTCATTAAAATGAATTTTGAGTTCAAATTTAAAAGGGTGTTTCCTACAAATATTATAAATAATATGACTGAAAACACAATATGGACCACAAACAAAGGGGAATGATTATTTATAAGGAGAGGGTTTGCATATCATTAACCACAGCAAATGTGATGAAAATCAATTATTTATGGTACCTACATAAAAGCTTTTATTGTGGCCATGATTTTAAACAACTGTCCAATAAATTGCAAGGAATGCATTTGATCTATCATTCACTGACATCACAGCAGGAAAAATGGCAAAATGTTCAATTTAGAAGAAGAGTTTTTCATTTTGTTACTGCATGAGAAAAACAGAGTATGTTAATTTTGAAATCCAAATTTGCATGATATACTGTCTAGACGTTCTAGCACCCAGGAAAAGCAAAGAATTCACTGTAATGAACGGGTGTAAACTGTAATAATATACAATGTTATTTGACACAACATTAGAAAAAGTATTTCAAGGATATTCTTTGCTAAACCATCCTCAACCTTGCAAGAATATCATAATCCAAAGATTATTAACACAAAGCCAAACATACCTCTCACTAAAAACAAGATCTCTGATTGAACTCTCCATGGTAAAAATCACTTATTCTGATATTTTTTGTGTACATGGTACATTACGCTTCATATTACTAGTAATTATGTACATGTACTGTGGGTATATGCCCAAGGAAAGAAATTTAATAATTATTACTAGGCTCAAGTATAATAATGAAGCCATAACAGACAAAAAAAAAAAATAACAATACATGTCTAGTCATGTATGCAATTTGATGGCTTGTTTATTAGTAGTGATTTTAGTATGACCATGAGAATTTGACACCCTGGGGTCACCCAGACCCTATTTTAATTGCAACTTGCAATAATTTTAATTAATTTATCAAAGACTTGATCTAGACATACATAATTGTTTCACAAGTGCCAAGGCCATCAATTTTTTTTTTTTGTTTTGCATGATACATTTAAAATGATGTACATATTGTACCACACTTCACTAATAATGAGGCTTCCATTGTCCCAAAAGTGTTGTTTGAACACTGAAATGATAAACCTGGATTTGAGCCTGCCTACCTGGAGGGTCCTTGTGTTATGTTCTTACATGTGGGTAAGATTTCATAGTAAACGCTTATACGGACTGTACAGTGTAGTTTCACTATTAATAGTTACAATGTAATTGATATTAAAGTGTGAAGTTGCACATATAAATTACTTAAGGCATATTACAAATTAATGTATGACAATATACATGTATGTCTCCCTCATAGGTGATCCCTGATTACTATTAAACTTGACAACTTTAAACCCACACAATCTCTTAGAATGCAGTTTTTCATACATTGTGTCCCTTGGGAGGTTCAGATAGCACTGTCCTACTGTATAAAAAGTTGTTACCTTGATCTTAACCCCAATAACAAACTTCTTACTTTGTGGGTTAATTGTACATGTATCAACAACAGGCAAGTTCGCCCATAAAATCAACGGCCCATCAAGCATACCCAGCCATAACTGGCAATCTCTATTACGGCTCTTAATGACAGCATGATAATTATATAAGCATAATTTAATGTTATTGCATGCAGATACACAGTTTGTTGCACAATGTAGCCAACTGCCAGCAAAAATCACAATTAATTACTCCATGATCTAGACTGGCTACGTATACTACGAGTACAGTGTATACTTTTATTTTGTATTATTTTTAAGAAAAAGGTGGGAAAACCAACTGCCTACTCTAACATAAAAGTCACCTACTTAAAAGCTTTGCATCAACACTGTATTATATATAAAGTCTGCATACGAGCCAAGTGATCCATCAGACTGGCGCTAATCCCCCCTAGATGGGATGCTAGTCCATCGCAGGGTTACACCCGTCTGTACACCTGGGTGGAATTACAAATGAATGTGTTCAACCTAAACTGTTTCCAGAAAAATGATTATGTTAAAACCTACTCACCATCCTGATTGGGATCTGTGACAGGAACAGACCATGTAACCAGGTTCCTGGCAGCTCTTCCTTCCTGTTCAACAAGTTTACGAACGTGATCATGGCTGTTTGTGCGATGGACATTTTTCTGTTGATGCTGTTGAGATAACATAAAACATTTCTAATCAAAATATGGGTATAATTATGTATAATTGGTTTTAATACATATACTAGACATGTCATCAGCCACTTACATCTTTTAAAAAGCCCCAAACAAATCAGTACTTTGAGACTTTCTTAGCTTTGCAAAAAACTGAGACTGTGAGACAGCTTTGTGAAAAATTGACACTGCAAGACACACATACAGTACCCTCTAAAAAACGAGATCATCAGACCTGTAAAATTTGAAGAAATTCTGGAAGACCCATGGGTTTTGAAGGGCCATTCACCACCCCTTTGACACAGTATGTATATTTGTTCTTTAGGTTAGAATGATTTCAGCCTAGATTAATTTGTTTTCAACCTAGATTAAATTTTTGAGAGGCTTTTAAAAAGAATTAGTATGCATAATTATATACCACCCACCCCATGTCAGTCCCTACCCTACTCTACCCTGCCAGGATTCCATGCATGTATTTACCCCTACCAACCCTAACCCCCTAGATCTTTTTTTTTATTATTATTTTTTTGTACCGACAACACATACATGTTTGTATGCACGTGTTTTCAGTCAATTTGTTCTTTAGGTCAGAATGATTTCAACCTACTGTAGGTGAATTTGTATCAAAGAGGAAGGGTGAGTCTGGAACCAATAACTTATTACACCAACAAATTTGAGCAAATCTGATCGTCAGCTATCACACGTTAGAAATCTTGAGCTCATAACCTAATTGCTTTAGTAATAGAAACACGAGTCAGTGGAAGTTTGGGAGAATGATAAATGTTATGGGAAAACAAGTTTGTGTGGGAATAAAAGCTGACAGGCGAGTGTTTCAGGTTCTCCCGAACTTCCATGAGCATTTCTATAAGTAGACAGAAACATGAAGAACATGTTTTCTGTTTGATTCGGAAAATTGTTGCGATAAAAAAACAAGAAAATGTGTTTACTTTGATCATCAAAATGTAAATTCGCCTTGCTTGTGCCATCATTACATCAACAGATTGTGCTAGTTCTTTGTTTCTATCAAGTTTTCGTATAAACCTACTACATGTAGTGTTCTATCGACAACGCTGTTCTCTGACTGGCTATGCTACTCCCTATCTATTCTGCGATAGCTTATGAGTAGTGTAACAGTGAGCCCTTGTTAACAAAATGACGGCCGCTTCTTGACGTTTTTGAAGAGGATTAAGAGAAAGTTTTGAACGACTAGTAGATTTATACTACAACAATAATTATTCACTCTCGATTTCTATGTGAGATAAAAATCTTGAGCTCATAATCTAATTGTTTAATAGAAACACAATTTTAAACTAATCAGAGCACCTATTTTCTTTGGGCTATTTTCTAATGTATGACTTGAATCCAATATTGAAAATATGGAAGACAAATTTAATAACAGGGGGCTTTTTTTTAACTGAAAAGGAGATATTAATGTTGTTTTACACTATTCTAGTTTAGAATATGTACCAGGGCATCAATGCAAATTCATGTACTGAAACAATCTAAAATAAAAAAGTACAGATATCTTTTCATTTTTCTTGTACCTCCAATTTGGTACCGTGCATAAGCTTGTGTCATAAATTAATGTTTACATGTAAATGACTCTGATCATATTAGCATAATTTATTTGGAAAATAAAAATATTTACAAGCTGTACATGATCAGCCATTTGCATCTTTAGAAAAATGACTGAGGTCTAGATATGATTAATATTCTTGAAAAAAAAATCTGTTTCTTTTTTTCTGTAGGAGAGAGGTGATTTCCACTGCCTGTAGAAATCTCATTTACCAGCATCTTTAATTTTCATTGCAAAACTGAAGAATTTACTGATTTCTCTGCCTGATTTAAAGACATGAATTTCTACACCAGCTCTGCTTTAAAAGGATACGCTGAAGCTCAAGCCGTTTGATTATAAACTTGATCCCGAAACTGGGATGATTTATAAGCTTAGAGATAAATGAATTATTAATGTAAACATTTATAATACCAGCACAAAACAATGCAAACTCAGAAGATCTTTATAATAATTAATTTGGATTCACACAGTAAAGCAATGCTTCGTCAGAAAGAAGGTCACATTCTAAGTGTATGTTCTGTAGAATAGATCGAATCAGTTTCAAAATACGTGACAAGCTTTGAAAGTGATGCGTCACATAAGCTTACATGTTCAGCAAAAACACTTGCAAAACGTTCAGCAATACATCTAAGTACACACCTTTCCAGAATTGTTCTTCCTTCCAGAAGAGTTTTCTCGATGTTGATTCTTTTCTGAGCTATGCCCAGAAAGACTCTCGGTCGATCGCGAACTCGAAGAAGAAGTGCGAGGACTAGATCGTTTTCTCCGATCTTGCGATGACATCAATAACTATGTTTCCTTATTCCTAATAATCGCGATTTTCACTACAGAAACACTACAGCAAAAACTCGCACCACCGGCTAGATGATCTCTAAATATCACGATGTGCCATAGCCTTTGTCAAAATAATTCTTGAAAGAGTTTGTTGTTCAAAACCATCGCACAACCCGCCATTTTGTAACTTGGAAACCTCGAGGGCAGCCTCGATCTGGTGCAAGGTTATTCCCAGTCTTTTCGCTGCGGACAACTGCATCCGCCAAAAACGGCGAGCGAAAAAGCAGGGGAGAAGTGCAGAAAGAGAAACTGAACGCCTGGAAGAGGCTACCTGACCACATGCAGGGTCCACGATAACTTGCTTGCGCATACTCTATTCATTTATCCTTCCTTGTACGCTACAATTCAATAAGCTGTTGAATAAAGCTTGTCAAGATTTCCTCATGGTTTGATCGAAGCCCAATTAGGTGACCATTATCAGAATGATGAAATAGAAAACATGTACCGTGTTTCTATCGAGTTTTGGTATGTATCTACTAGCGTTCCATCACGAATGCCGTTCTCTGATTGGCTACTCTACTCACCATCTACTCTGTTGCAGATAGTGAGTCGCGTAGCAGTGTGAGATTGTTAACAAAATGGCGGCCGC